CATTTGGTTTTACCTGAAGAAAAAATCATTGACAGCATTTGTTCAAAGAAACTTAGCATTCAAATGGACTCCGTGCAAGACATCAACATAATGGATCAAGGCATGCCTATCATGCAGTTTATCCATGGTGAAAGTACAGAAGAAAAGCTCCTCACTATAGTGCAAATAAAGGACAGTAGTGGCACTGGCATGTTTGATGGGCTTAAAAGTTGTATCAATAAACACAAGCTTAACATTTCATTTTACAGTACATCTAATATATATATGGGAAGTTCTGTAGCTTTTAAGCTTTCAACATTCACCTAGTTCCTAATTTGATTTATGTATGGTGTTACTGACACATACTGAATCTGTGCGGAGTTGATTCTTATAATCCTTTGGAAGCAAAACAACTTGAACTACTGAAAAGACTGGCAACTTTCAGAGAATCCTATAAGAGGATAGATGTTTGGAGAAACAAAATGAGTGAGAAGTCTGGCCACTGCAAATTGAAGAAGCTTCGAAAACTGGAAGAAATGAGATGGTCCTCTCAGGAGAAATCAGATAACTTGCTTTTCAATCAACCACATTTTGTTTCTTGACTCACTAGATGTTTTATTAGAAACCAGAGTCTGAGCATTTTGATGAGAAAACAGTTTAAGATGCTGACTCGCTTTTAGAAAATCAGCATATTTCTTAACGATTTGAAAGGGTTAGATTTTTTTTATCCACACATCTTATGGTAAAAGAAGCATGAAAGGATTTACTGCATTTGAACTTTGATTCTTTATTTCAACAATAATCTGAATATAAGGATTGAAAACTCTGATGACATTATTCAATTTACACCATTCCAACTAAGCTACGAAGAAAAAAGAATGTCAAAAGAAAATTAGGAGATGGAAAACTGACTGATCCACTGTTTTCTTGAAGTTTTTTCATCCTGTAGTAGATCTGGTATCCATTAACATTACAGAGTGCTCCATAAACACACTGTTCCTTGATAACAGGCAATTTAATAAGATAAAAAAAAATCCCAATGTAATTCCAGTTCATGGTTTAATGACAAATACAACTCAAGTAAATGCAGAAGACCTGTAAAAGGAACTAATCAGTTTCTTAGACTGCTGAGAAATGAGTATACAGAATAGATGGTTCAAGAAAATTGGGATGATATTATTCTCAATTGGTTATTTGATATGGCTGCCACTGCTTCCTAAGAAAACTGGAATGTTGAAGAATCCAGTTCAGATGAAAAGATGAAGATCTGAAGCCCAAAAAACCATCAGAAGAGTAAATCAGTCCAAGACTTTACTTGCAAGAGTTCATTGCCTTTTGTGTACATACAATATTTTGTACAGATATAACATGTGAGCAGCAGCCTATAATAATTTTTCCACTGCCTATGACTATCTCTTGATTCTTTCATTTTCTTAGGTCTCTTATGAAAGAACTTTCAGTAAGTTGAAAATAATCAAAACTAGGTTAAGGAGCAACTTCTAACAATTGTATTTGGAAGCATGCATAATGATTATTTGTAAGAGGGATTTGGTCAATGCAATTGATTATGAAAACATTCAAACACTTCCATAAAAGCTAAGATCTCACAAATAAGATGCTGTTTATTTGGATGTACATTTTTAATCAATTTTGTATTTTGCGAGTTTGACACTTGTTTGTAATCTATGTCAACAATAACAGCAATAAACCAGAAGTATGTCTTTACTTTGCACATTTCTTTATAATAATTATTTTGTTATACTAATATATATATATATATATTTATCTATTTTTTATATGATAATTTAAAGATATACAAGTTTTCTACTGGTCATTCGGTTTTGCCAAGTTTGTAAATTAGTATTTTTTTTAGTATGCAAAATGTTCAATATATAGGTGTCTATGAAAGCCAGGCAATTAATGGAATTTGTTAATAGGTTACATTCAACTAATCCATTATTCTTACATGAGATTAATCTTCCTATTTTAATCCTAAACTGATGTACATGAAAATGTATCACATGCAACATATGATAAAATTTGTAACAAGCTGAAAATATGATTAATACCTTTCTGTGGATTTCTTCTCAACAAATGTTCACAAGACTACTCTATTAAGTACTACAACTAATTTAATTAATTCTTTGTTAAAAAATGATTATTCTTAGATTTCATGTGATAAAACTAGTACAAATTTTTGTCAGTGTGTGTGTGTGTGCGTGATAGATTAATTATAATTCAGTGAAAACATTTTCATACAAATTCTAGAAAAACAAAAACATTAAAAAATTTAGCAGGAAAACTTGTGAAGATTTGGTACACGTATATACGTGTGTGCATAATTGTGTTCATTAACCAAACACTGTAATGTTAAAATATATTAGCTAATCTACAGTAAGGTTTGTAATTTTCACACTGTTGTCACAAAATACATTCAATTTATGTAATGAAACTACCTTAGTTTTGTGATCATTTTTATGTTTTTGAGACCTTTCTCTACTACGTTTTTTCAATACTGAATTACTCTTTACAAATGCAGATGAAGTGTAAAACTTCTTATGACATTTTTAGTCTAATTTAATTTAACCATGTTCTTCAAAACTAACATTTTTAGCCTCTGATATATATATCAATAAGCATCTATTATAAGGTTTGAGTACCTAGTAACAGATACAGTCAATGCCTTTTCTTACCCCTTTACAACATTTCTTGATGATTCCACAGATTATTTAAAATCAGGCATTACTTTTATTGACTACTTTAGAAAAATAAAGCATGTTTAGACACTATTACTACTGTTTTTCAAGTCTGTGATTAACTAGCATATATTAGACATTAATGTGATTTTATCGCAAGTTTTTGGAGGCCCTTCATTGTCTAGGTAACTTACAATTGCACATGGAAAGAACTTGTTTTATTTTAACATAATGGTAAGTATATGGTAAAGTTATAAGTAATGCTACAGATACCGTAAAACCAGATAAGGCCCATACTTTGATCACATACCATGCACCTAATATGAGGGTTACATGAACAATACTTAAAGAGAAATATCCTCATCTCTTCATCTGTGATTGTCTAGCTCATACCTCAATCCTGTTTTTTATGGACATTTTCAACTTTAGAACTGTGAACTAACTTACAGAAACAAATCAAAAAGATTATACAGTTTATTCCCAAAAACACATCCCACCATGAATGCTCAAAAAAACCAAGCGAGAGGGAGAATGCTCTTTTTACCTCAAGGACATTCACTGGGGATTAGTTACGAAGTGCCTTGAAAATGCAATTAAAACCAAGGAAGCCATAGTAGACTATTAGGTCAGTCTCCTCATTCCTGCCCACAATCATTGGATAGTGAAATTTTTGGGCACAAATGAGCAGAATTATCGATCAGACAATATCACATGCCATTAGAAAACTTCAGATGTTGTCCAAGATGGTTTCTATCTTCAAGAAAAACATGGTAGCACTAAGAAGACAGTTTGTAGCAACCACCATTGTCACTAGCTGAAGAAGAATAACTGATAAAATGTTTTTCCAGCTGCTGGGACTTTTCCCTTCATTCTGTCCAACAAACAGTTTATATGTTGGAGACAAATACTTGGAGGAAGCTATGAAGAATGAAGTAAACATGATCATGAAGGTAACTAAGCATATCTTCAAAATGGATCCTACAGCTGTTACATGTGAACTACTGAACACAGAGCTGAAGAAAGACTGTGCAGCATGAAAGTTCTATGGAAACTATATAGTACCTATGCACCTTTAGATTGATGAAAAGGATTTGTACAGGTAGGCACTTATTTACAGTTGTTCTACAATTGTTAAGTTTTCCAACTACTACAGCTTATAGTGAACAAAGCTGGTCAGCATTCAGTACAGTAAAAAACAATATTTTTTCCACCTCATATTGAACCAAATATACTATGTCATAATATAATCTCCACAACCTCCAAGATGAGGACCTGGAGGTTTCAAGTGTGAAATTAGTGGGACTAAAGTCAGTGAAAATCAGAAAAGAAAACAGTAAGGACGAAGACAATGAATGCAGTGCCTCTGTGAATAGAGTCAAGTGATCACTGAAATTTGATTAATTATTAATCATTTAGTTCATTAACTGATTACATTCAATTAACCAATTACTCTCACATGGGACTTGGATAATTGGAATAATTCAAAATAGAGATAATCAGAAACACTAATTTTGATTAATTGCTTACTTTCATTAATAATGACACTAATCAATTAAGCTGAACCATCTTGAATTAATCAAAAATAAATCGTAATGGCAATATTTCAAACATTTGGATAACTAGAATAATCAGAAACAGTAACGATCAGAAATGTTAATTTTGATTAGTTGATTATTTTTATGACAACAAATAATTTAAACAATTTTAATTAATATATTATTTTACATGAAACTAATATAATCAAAGCTCACAGGTAATCAGTTATATCGAGTTAACTGCCCATCTCTATTTGTGTACAGTAACTTCTGTTGATATAAGCCATTTGTTTTTTTTACAACTGTTCATGAATAATAAATAGTGCACCAAAAAACAGCACTCAAAGAAAAAAAAAATCTGCTATTATAATTATGCCTATGCTTTATAATTCAATGTAAACATCTAACCTTCAACAAGAAATAAATAATGTTGGAAAATTTCCAAAAAAATATAACTTCACTAACTGGTACTAAACCTATATGCTACATTGTACAATATACTGTTCATTCAAACCTGTTTGCATTGACAAACCAGGTGACGAGTAAAAATATTTGCTCAATATGCACACATTTTAAAGATGTACTGTACCTACTACAGACATCTTTAATAGCATTAAAAAAGCAGGCTGTAAGACTAACATTTTCAATAAAGTAAATCAAAAGGGTACTGTCTACTAACATTTGATTTTAAGATTTATATAACAGATGAAGATAAGTGACAGCATATATACTATTATATCTGTTAATTTGGGCACATGTTTCATAAAACATATTTTCAGGTAATACTTACCATGTGGGGAGTACACTCTAAGATTAATAGGAACTGGAGATATTCCCTTGTTGCTTCCAGTAATTCGGTCAGTTTCATCTTCAATTTCTTTTCTGATAGCATCGAAATCTGTGAATTTCTTTCCTCGAGCATGAAGAAATTCCCCATATTCTGTAAAAGGGAAACAAAATCTTGCAAACATGTTCATAACTCATTTTTTGTAGTTCAAAAAGATTCCTAATCACTATTTGTATCACATGCTTTAACCTCTTCTTACAGTCCGTACTAAATGTTGACTAGATTATTAGTTAGTTTTTACGTAAAAATCTCCTACAACAGGAGCTAATAATAAAGTAACTTGTACACATAATGTATCATTATACAAAACATGCAATTCTACACTTTCTAACATTATCAGATTCATATAATGTTTATTTATATGATGCCTCAACTTTAGTTTTCCATGAACAATAGCCACCCGACTAAGTCTGTTGTTTCAGTATAACATACAAGTGGTGAATGAAGTGGTATCAAAATGGTCCAACACATCACATTCATTGCTATTAATTACTTTAACTTACTTCACACTCATAGAAATCCTTCATAGTTTAACTCATTAACCATAATGTTTTTTAACAAAATAGCTTAAAAATCAAAGAAACTCTAATACACCAGCTCCTACATCGAAAAACACCCCTTTTGGTGTGTTAACATGTAGAGGGTTCCATAACAAAAAGTTAAATATTAATAAAGGTTGTTTAGTTTTAAATCACTATTGTATATACATCATCAAAATTGTCTTTCTTTTCAATTTCAATACATCTTTTGCTTTATTGGATTAGCTTTTTTAAATTAGTATTGACACATTCTGCACTAGGAATAATTAATTTATATCAAATTATTTTGTTCATTGCAAATCATTACTCCATTTCATTTATTATGCTTTAAATTTAGAAGCAGTTAAAAAAAAAAATTCAAATCAGGCTTATAACTGGCAATTCAATTTTTTTTTTTCAAATGTGTAACTATTACACTTTTAACTGTTTTACTTCTTCAGAATATTAAGAATTTTTAAAAAAAGAAAATACTAAAGCTCTTGAACTTTATAAGGGTGCATATTTACTAAAGCTTTCCATTTTTTAATATAACGGTAGACATTTATATTTGTAGCTAGAGCTTCCTTCTTTGTTTCCAGTAAATGATAATTTAATTATAACATGATAATTTGCTTTTATCTGTATTAATCTAATGAAAGTAATAGTGCTTAATTGATCTCTTAAAAAGCTTATGTACATTTTTTTCTGTTATTTATGAAAATGTTATTGTACTGCTTAGAAACAGCCTCTTCTCCTTTTGTTACAACAATTGCTTCGGAAGTCATTAACCATGCAAGAATATATGGAAGTGATATTGTTGAGACATACTCTTTTGATATCAACAGTGCAAATTTCAAATAGTTGTAGGGGACAGACTTAGAAACGTGACACATGACTTTGCATCACCTTGAAAGGGGGGGGGGGGGAGTCCAGATGCCACTATAGAGATTGCCTTAGAGGCATAAAAAAAAATCAACAAATATTTTCCCATCACTTCTAATATAATGGGAATAAAAACATTCATGAGCAATTTCAATCAATGGACAAAACCAAAGACAAGTATCAGGATTTTTGATGGAGTGGGGGGGGGGGGGG